TTAGCTCTCATCTTGGGGGAGACATACTTACCTGCATCTAACTGATTACGTACAGGTTCTGGCAAAAGCAGGTTCACAGTTGCTTGTATGGAAAGCAAAACAACAATTAGTAAATGATAATCCAAGAATAAACTCTGTTTCACGTACTCACAGCTGTAAACCTACTTTTGCCCCACCCTGTATTATAACAGTTCTGGGGCGAGTGTTACAACAAAACATGTAAAGGAGTTTGCTTTGAATCTAACTACTTAATAATAGGGATGCTCTTTTAGAAATCTTCAAAAGGAAGACTTGTGGGTGGTTGTCAACACCAGACCTTTGTTTGAAATAGCTAGGCAGGTAGAGTCACACCTGTGTCTGGGTGGGTTACAGGAGTGGTAGTGAGTCATGGTAATTCTAGATCAGCATAGAGAGAGGAGAGCCCTCGTTCAGCCAGCCTGCTCACGTCCACGGTCCGACTTGTTTCTCCTCCCTCTGACTCCTGCTAAGCAGGAGCAGAGCTGCTTCCGCCCTTGAGTGGACAGTGAGTTGGTGTTACTCTCTGAGAACCAGAATTTAAATTGTACCTCAGTGTGATGCGTGACGCAGTCGTGCCCAGATCTGCGTGTGAAGCATTTTGTAAAAACTGACAAGAGCTAGTTAACAAATTTTTCTTGTGGCCTTTGGATTTGTTCTTTCCTTCTGTGCCACAGGTCTGATCATATTAGTTATAATAGGAAAGAAATAAGGTTCAGAACTCGAAAAGATTGCAAGAATACTGTGTGTGCATGTTTGCTTTTTATCTAATTTAGACCGTGAAAACAGATACTTTTCAATCTAGCAATAATGTGCATCTGTGCATGTGCATTTTAAAATGTGCTTTTAAAGGGAGACTTTTCAGAAAGTGGAAAATGGCAACATATCACACATTTAGAAGCCTGGGCCATAGCCAGCCCAGAGAAACGTGGGAAGGATGCCCACTCTTGTTGATTCCCATTTCCTCCCTACACTGTCAAGAAACTTTGGTTTGGGGTATCAGAATGCCAGATGGGTATACCCCCCACACCCCAGATTAGAAGTTGAAGGGAGATGGGAAAGAAATATTAGGATACCTCCACCCAAAGCCAACCACACTGTTTTGTTCATGACTCTGTGCTGTTACTTCAACTATCTTAGCAGGTATGATAAATTGGCTCAATAAACACCAATTACACACTCCTTCCTCTCTTCCTTTACTCTAGAAGTGAGAAAACAAAAATACTGAATTTCCCAGCCTCTTTCACAGCCAGGGTTGTGCGTGATCTATAATTCTGGCCAAAGAGATGTGAGTGAAACCTCTGGGAGGCTTCTCTTCCCTTATTTACCTTCTTCTTCCTCCTTGAGACTGTAGGCATGATAAATGGAAGTGCAGTAGCTATCTTGAGACTGAGGATAAAAGCAAAATGCTAAGGGCGGCTGAGAAGGCATACAGAAAAGGGCCTATTTATTTGATGATATCCTTGGCACCTCCATCAGCTCTGGGTTTCCAACATCCAGACTTCTTATTACGTGAGAAAAATAAACCACTTTCTCGTTTAAGCGACTATTTGTAGCTTTAAATGTTATTGTACTGTTACTGCTGTTGAACACAGTCTTGAGTGATATTCATTTCCTTTTTACGTGGTAGAGCAGACTGGCCTGTTTGTCAATTTGTAGGAGGCATGTAATAAATGTAGCATCCCATTTTCTCTGTATTATTGCATCTACTTTAGACTTGTCTCTGTCCCATCCTATCTACACTAATAAAAGAGAAACATGGTAATTGGCGTACGACCGCTACCCTTTTCATTGGCTAATCAGTGAGTATATGCAAATTAACTGTCAGCCAAGATGGCAGCCGGCAGCCAGGCACTGAAGCGAGCAGGGAGGCTTGCTTGCTGCAGACTCCAACGTTCCCCGCCTGCCAAGGGGTCCCAGACTGCAAGAGGGCACAGGCCGGGCTGGGGGACCCCCTCCCCCCGCCCCCCGAGTGCACAAATTTTTGTGCACCAGGCCTCTAGTTTTAAATAAAAGCAAAAGTTGGAATGCAGCTTAGCATTAATGGTGTCACTCTAACATTATTTCAGTAAGTTTGTGTGTCACGTGCTTTGCTGGGTGCTCTGAATATAATGGTGAGTGGGATGAGAGCCTTGCTTTTAGGGGTCTTGTGGGCGAGTTGGGGAGACCACACATAAATGCACACTGTGGGTGAGTGCTCTGGTAAAAGTCCATGGTGCTGTGAGAATGCAGGGAAAGGGTATGCGCCAGTTAGCTTTTACTGTATAACAAACTACTCCAAACTCAGTGGTTTAGAACAGGCACCGTTTCCTTACCTCATGATTCTGCAGGTCACCACCTTGGGCTGCTGGCAGCTGGGCACTTCCGGTCTCGGCAGGGCTCACTCGTGCTGAGTTGGCGAGGTGTGGGTGGTCTAGGCTGGCCTCACCCATCCAGAACGGTTTGTAGTCTCTCCTTTAGCATGAGGTAGTTCTGAGACCAAGATCTCTACTCCTTCTGAACTCCAGTAACACAACTTTTAAGTTAGCATTTGTGCCCTTTGATATAATTATTTTTCCTTTATATCAGATGGAAAGCTCCATGAGGATCTAACTCCCCAAGATGAATATTATTGGGATAATAAGGGTTTGATTTTGTTGAATGAATAAGTAAAGGCTTAAATGAATTACACTTTGTCTATGTACAGATCTTTAGCATATTTGTGTTTATTCCCTTAGTTATGTGGTGTTGCCTGCTGGAGACTTTTCTTTGTTAGAAAGATTTATACACTGAGGGCAACAGGCCACTGAGGTGGAAATATGGAACATAAATAAAAACCAAAATTTTAAGTTGAGAAAGTATATGCTAAGTTTGTAGGCAATGCAGGAGCAGGTATTTGTGTGACATCCCAGGAGAAAGTTTGGCAGAATGTAATAATTTTACCTGCGTTTGGCATTACACAGCAGAGGGGAGCTCACCAATTTATATCATGGGGGAACTCTTGCCTTTGTTCATCAATCTTGTTAGAAAGCTTAATATTTGTTTCTGATCATTTCGAATTAATTTGTACCCAGAATGGAATCGCCCAAATTAGTTCTTTTTCTTTGAAATGATTTTATTTTGATGTTGATCTTCCTCTGCAAAATCACTTAACAAGTCTCACAGCTTTCTGGCCTATCAAATTGGATGCCTACAGCAACTATGGCAGAGATAAGAGCTCTAGTATCACCCACATTTTACAGGTTAGGAACACTGGAAAGGAAATGGGGGAGGTTGGAGGACCTAGTAAGGTCACAGAACAGAACCACAAAGCACATCTTTCAACCTAGCGCTGGCTCTGTCTGGACATTACAGTTTCAATGCTTAAAATAATTGGAAGTGTTAATCAAGATGTAATTGCTTTGCCAGCATGTTAATAGATAGTTCAGTAACATAACACTCACTTGACAGTTCATCATATTCATGTGGGGAGTTTCTCATCAGGGTCAGTAGCGACTAGTAAGTGCCTTTTTACTGCCCTCTTTGTTAGAAGGGTTCAAAGCAAAGCTTAAACCAAACATGGCAAAAGAGCCTTCTTGGCTGGTGTGTGTTTTAAAGGAAAGCAAAATCTTGTAAGTGGAACTGATAGGAAGGTGTGACACAGCCTAGAGTTAAAATACCTGAGAAGACAAATGGCTTTTTGATCTCTTGAGACCTACAGATGAATTAAAACCCCTCCGTATATAGACCAGTGCAGCTGACCACTCAAATTGCGATTTTAAAAAAATGCAGAAGCAGGACACTTAGAATATTGTCTTCATGTCAGAAATGCACCTTCGTGCTTGAAAATGATAAAAAATTACAATCGATCCTTACAACTGTTCTGTTCATCTTTATTGATCAGGTGCAAGAAAGATAAATCGCAGCCCAAATAAGATTATAGTAAATGTTAGCATCGGAGGGAACTGGAGGTTGATAGAGAGCCATTCATCATCTCAAATGGTGACCTGTCCATTCTGCAGCCACCCCGAGTCGGCTGTCTAATCACATACCTATTGATTTTATCTACATCCAACCAACCTGGATGTGACTGTCATTGGACAACCCAGATTGTTAAATGCAAAGGGGTCACTGGTGTGAAGAGGATTTCATTTTCATTTTCTCACCAACCAACAATGATTTATGAAAAAATAAACTACCCCCAGTCATGCATGTGAAGCCTGAGTGATTAGAGAATGAAGGTGCACAATAGACCGCTGCATTGTGTTCGTTTGTACTGCCGTGCCTTTTGCAGGATATTTCATTGAGTCTGAAGGCTCCTGGGGTCATCGAGGCCACCCCCTGCAGACAGGTTGCAAAGTAGCCAGCCAGAGTGGATAATTTTTAATCTTGCTTCCCCAGGAAAGGCGTTACTTTGCTATTACAACTTGATTTATGTTGCTTATGTGTTCATTCATGGAGTAATGGAAACATGTTTTGATATAAAAATTATGTCAATCCATCCCTTCATTCTTACTGATTAATTTGTTATAAATGTTGATGCTCTTGTGGTCACCTGGAGGTGATTGAACACATTCTACTCCATAGAGAATCCATCTTGAAGACATAAATACAGTGTAAAAGGAAATGATCTTTAATATCCCAGGTGGAACACTGGAATAATAGGCCAGCGTGATAGGCGTGAATTTCATTATTCAGTCTCAAGCATCTTTTGATCTTACAGTGATCGATTCCAAATAAGGGAGAACTAAATAATCCTTCAAACCTATGTTAGGAGTCTTATCAGAGGGATCAAATAATGATGAATTATAACTATGAGAGTTTACTCTGTAATTTCAGCCTAGATACCCACAACTGGATACTGGTACATGGAATTTTATAAGAATCCATTCCACTTGTGCAAGAAGTCTTTCTCCTACTGCTTGAGTGGCTGAAGCAAGAGCTCATGTATTTTTTGTCATTGTACATCTTGCACACGTTTTGTCCTCTTGAAAAGTGAAAACTCTGCTATCAATCTTTATCCACAGAGCTCAGAGTTCTACAAAGTCACCACTGAAGAATATCAGAAAGCTGCTGAGGAGGTGGAAGCAAAGTTCAAGTAAGTTTTTTAAAGTATTATAATTACTCTTCTTGACAAAATGAAAGGACAACTTCATTGCTTTTTGAATAGGAGATCGTTTGGTGTGTAGCCCTCTGGATAACTTGGAAGTAGGTGGGTTGAGATGGATCCCTGTTATCTGCTGTAGTGGAATCCAAATGCAAAGGACAAGACATTTGATAAAAGCTTGTTACCAACTCGATTTTATGAACTAAGGGGAAATAGAAAGCCATAGTAATAGAATTTTCATTTGCGGTGATATATGATAGGCTACCCTTGTTAATGAAGGCAATATTAAATTGCCATTTCTATTAATAAAAACATAGACACCATTCACTTTTGCATAATAAAATGATGGGCATGTCCAAATTGGTGAATCCCCTTTTCTCATGTTTAAGCTGTTTCATTTCTTCACATGTACCTTGAAAGCATTTAAATCACAGACTTTACCTTATCCTTGATTATGAAGGGGATGTTAAATTGCTACCTCTATTAAGGTTCTGTAATTGATGGATCAAAGTGTCTGTGACCCATAGCTCTGTATTCTTCCTCTGCTGCCAGGTTTCACATTAAGTAAGAAGGCATCATTCAGAATTTTCCTGAGTGTATAACTAGTGCTATTGTGTAACCTCTGTTGGTAGCAAAGCAAAAAAAAAAAAAAAAAGGTGTTGTGACAGGTTTAGTTGAAAGATGTCATTGGGCTCTGACCTCCTTCCTTGCGCATGTTTCTGAGCATTTGATAAAATGATTAAACCACAAAGTGGAACGTTATTGCTTTTTGCTATCATGTAATTTGTGTGATAATGGATATTAGTGTTATTTTAATATCGATTAAAAATGTTTTTTAAAGATGGTTTGAGGTATATTTAAATACACAGAAACCTCCATTCTTCATTAGTGAATTGTTTAGGGGCTGGAGGAAGAGACCTGCTAAGAATGGCGTATAAATCTCACTCCTAAAGGGTTAATGTGCTATCTTAAGAATTTAGACATAGAATTGCATGTAGACGATTTCAGAAGGTACACCATACAGGTATTTTTATGATTTTCTCTTCCCCCCCTAATGATAAAGCAACAGTTTTTAACCTTTTTGTCTCAATACTATGAGAACCTTTGACTTGGTACCCTGGCTGTTTCTTCAATACAAGGTAATAGTTATACAAAAAACAAAAACTTGAGGTAAATCAAAGGAAATCACTTCTGACTAGGATGATCTAGGAAGTCATCATAAAGAAGATGTTTTAGATGAGGCTTGAAGTAGAGCTTTGGTGGAAAGGAAAGGTATTCAGAAGAAAAATCCACAGTTGATGCGGATCTTAGATAAGATCCTCACAAGATAAAGTTGGAAAGGTTGATAGGGTCATTCATTAGTTGTTGGGCTAAGAAGTGGGTCTTCATTTAGCAAGAAGTCTTTGACCAGGTGAGTACCTTGATATCTGTGCTTTTTTAGGAATATTAGTGAATGTGAGCTTTGATTAGAGGTATGAGAAACAAGAGCCGGAAGTACTAGATGAGAGGTCTCTATAAGTGAAAGAGAAGAAAAGAGACTGATGCAAAAAAACTCATTGAAAGATTAGACATGAATCAGTGATTGATTGGTGAGTTTGCTAGGGCTGCCATAGCCAAGGACTGCAGGCTGAGCGGCTAAAACAATGGAGTTTACTTCCTCACAGTTCTGGGGGTAGAATTTCAAGGTCAAGGTGCCAGCAGGTTGGTTTGTTCTGAGGCTTCTCTCCTTGGCAGGTAGAGGGCTGTTTCCTCCCTGTCTTCACATGGTCTTCCCTCTCTGCATCCGTCTCCTGATTGCCCTCTCTTTTTATAAATCCCATTTGATTAGGGTTCATTCTATTTGAAAGGGCGAGGACTACACCCTCCATCTTACCCTGTGTCCTCCATTTTTTGGGCAGCCATGTGCTCAGGAAAGCACCTTCTTCCCGGAAGCCCAAGCCTCTGCTAGCCATGCCCAGGATTTCTTTAAACTAACCAATGACAATCAAGGGACGTGCATGCCATAGATATGACCACATCCTGTGTAACAAGACCCGACTTGCGCCTGGCCAATTGGCAGGACCCACAGTCATCTCTCCTCCCCTCACTCCACCCCCTATTAAAAACCCCTTTTTTCCCACGGGTGGACACTCTCGTCTCACCGTTGCGTCGGTAGAGGCTGGGAGCCAGACCCGGGTCTGTAATAAAAATAAAAGACTCTCTGCTTTTGCATCGGACTTGGCTGGCTCCCTGGTGGTCTATTGGGGATCTTGAAATCTGGGCATAACACTATTGACTTCATTTTAACTTAATGACCTTCATCCAAATATGCTTTCTAGCATACCATGCATCACGACTTCAATATATGAATTGAGAGGGAGGGGACACAGTTCAGCCCATTCACCTGGAGAGAAAGGGCAAAGGAGAGTCTAGCTGCTAGACTCTAGCAGATGTGAAGATCAGTGGAAGCTGGATTTTCTAGAGAGAGGTAAAACTGGTTTTAGGGGAGAAGATTCTCTTCTCCCAGGTCATTTAGCCTGGGCTCCTACTGGAGAATGAAAAGCTGCACAGCACACAAAAATAATGTCATGAGGACTTACCTTCTCCAAGACAACATGGCCTGTAGGTTAGACTTAGTTTTAAGCAGAGCCTCAACAGCATTCTCTCTCTTATCTTTATAACAGATTATTCTTTATTATATCCTACTCTCTTCTGGCATAGTGAAGAATTTAGCCTTTTCCAAAGAAGGTCTTAGTACCCAGCTCCTGGGAGGTAACCTATAAAACCTTGGAATTTCCCAAGTGATAGAAGTGTCTTCTTAGTCCTGATGGGCCCCTCAGGCCATGTGCTGTCAGCCTGGCCCTCTGGGGAATTGCTGCTGGAGCCTGAATTCAATCATATGGGCAGTCAGTTTAGTAAGCCTATGTCAAAGAGGCCCAAATGAAAGACACTGAAGGGTAGTTGAACTTCTCTTGTTGATGCTATGTTGCATATTGTCAGGCCTCCATACCAGGAAGATAGGGACTCTTTGGGACAATGGAAACTGCTTTTGGAACCTTCCCAGACTCTGTCCTCTGTATCTCTTCCCTTGGTTGTTTCTCTGTATCATTTTCCATAAGTCATAACTGTGCATACAATGGCTTTCTGTGAGATCTGTGAATCCTTTTAGCCAGTAGTCGAAGGTTAGGGTGGTATGAGGAACCCCTTGAATTTGCAGATGATGTAAGAAGTGCAAACAGCCCTGGCTGGTTTGGCTCAGTGGATAGAGTGTCGGCCTGCAGACTGAAGGGTCCAAGGTTTGATTCTGGTCAAGGGCACATGCCCGGGTTGCGGGCTCAATCCCTTCTCTCTCATCATTGATGTTTCTGTCTCTCTTTCCCTCTCCCTTCTCTGGAATCAATTAAAAAAAATACTTTTAAAAAAAGTGAGAACAGTTGGGGACCGTACCTCAGACTTTGTAGTTGGCTAACCCTAATACAAACAAAAACCCAGGTTTTATATACTGTGAAGGACTTTTAAGAGGTAGTTTTTGCAGAGTAGCTTTCATTATATAATTGTTTTTCCAGCTTCTGCCTGCTAGACTGAGCTTCCTAGAATATTATATTTTGATTTGCAGTGATTTCACTAGCTTCACACCTAGGAAGTGGTGGTGCTTGGGCTGTAAAGATGTATCTATGCTCTTCGAAGGCACAGAGTTTGCTCAGCGAACTATGTTTCTCCTCAGAAAGTTGGCCATCTCAGATAATCATCTCAGATCACCACGACAAGGTCAGTCTCTCACAGGGCAGTGTACTGGAGTCCGTCCACTGCATGACTGCAGCAGTTCCTCTGAGAGGCGAGCTTGGAATGACTTTGAGGAGAATTTAGTTCAGCTTTTTCTGATGGAGGGGTTCATTTGGGTGCATCTTGGTTACAGGAGTTGGAAGCTTTTTAAATTGCAACTATAAGGGTGATGTTATACACCTGATAGGGGGTCACACAAAATCTCTGTAAAGAGCAAGAAAGCTGAGAGCATTTGAGGCCGTGCATGGTGAACCCCAGTCACATTGATGCATCCTGCCATGAGAGCTAATGGGGTTATTTTAGGGATGCTTAAATATTAACTCACACTCAGGCCCTCCGTTTATAGTTTTGGCAGTAAACCATTGAAACACTGTAGATTTAAGGGGATTTTTTTCCTACTTTATCAGTACCTCATTCCTTCTTAGAGCTCCTGTGTGGCTCGTTCTCTGCCGAGTACTGAATGCACAGCTGTGAGGAGTCAGGAGGCCTTGCTAGCAGGGAACATAGAGTTCACCAGCGGGAACAAGAGGAAGGTGGAGTTTAAACAGAGCTTTTTACAGACACAAAGTTAGGTCTGCTGTGATGGGCTAATTACATCCCTAATATTTACCTTTTTTTCCCCAGGGGGAATTAAACAATTTGGAGATAAAGAATCTGTACTGTTTATTTGCCTGCAAGAACTTTTTGCTCAGTAGCTTTAAAATTTTAGCTTATAAGACTCAAATTACTGAGCAAATCCAGCATATTTTACATCTAATTTTAATTCAACAGTTAACCTTTTCTTTCCCCAACCCAACCAGAATAGTCTTTATTAGCACTTTATATCACCTTTACCACCCTTTGTTATTATATGTTAATTAGAGCAACTTATGGTGCTAGTTACTCGTTATGGTGATGGTATCAGGTTATAGCTCAGCCTACTGAAAATTATGTTCTGTATTAATCCTTATTTTCTACCTTATAGGTGATTAATAAATAAAATGTCATAATGATGTTACATTGATAGTGCTTAGCACAGGTCTTACACAGGTAAATGCCCAATAAGTATTAGATTATTTTTATTATATTACATATTATAGGATAATATTTAGTTATAATATTATTTCATTATATCCAACTCAACTTAAGAAACTATGCACCATAGGAGAAATTTCCGTATTTGTTTCCAAACAAAATCTAGAAGGTGTTGGCTTGCCCCCTCTCCCCCTGAAACAACAATGACACAACAT